AGAGGTAGGTTACTAATAATTATATGTAATGTATATTAATAATAGTGAAATTTTATTTTATTTTTTGTAGCGTGTTGCTGCTGCTTTAAAAATTAGTTTAAGGACAGTTAGTCGTATTTCCGAGGGTGTGAAAAGTTATGCAAATTTAGAATCGCCCAAGAAAAAGCGGAGTTATATTAAACGTGTAACCAACACAGCGACATTGGATACAAGTGCCATTCGAGAAGTGATCTATAATATGTATCACAAAAGTAAGATCTTATTATAATAACTTATCAGAAATTTGCATTAATTTGTTAACTAAATTATAATGTCATATTACACATGGTTTCAGAAGAACAAGTTACGATACAAACTTTATGGTCTCGATTAAGAGATAGGGCATTATTTGATGGTAGTGCCACGTCTTTAAGGCGTTTGCTTAGAGATCTTGGATTTAAGTGGCTTAAGGACAATCCGCGACGAGGGCTCATGGAACTACCAAGTATAGCTTTGAAAAGGGTGGAATTTCTAAGGCAATACAATCAAGCCAAGATTGAGGCCTTATACCAGTTTGTCTTCCTCGATGAAACTTGGATATTTCAAAATGGGACCATAGGTCGCTCTTGGCAAAATGGAAACCAAAAAAGCGTGAAAGCTATTAAAACAGATGGTAAAAGGTATGTACTTTTACACAATTTGCACTATAAAATTTAAAACTAATATATTTTAGATACATTATATTACATGCTGGAAATGAAAATGGGTTTATTGAGGGTAGTGAAGCGATATTTTCTTCGAAAACAAAATTGAGCGATTACCATGGAGAGATGAACCTGGACAATTTTTTGAAATGGTTTCAACATCAGTTATTAGAAAAATTGGAGAGTCCATCTATGATTATACTGGATAACGCCCCTTATCACAGCATGATATTGAACAAAGTGCCCAACAATGCATGGACAAAAAAAAATATCCAAGACTGGTTGACAAATCAAAACATACCATTTTTAAACACAATGTTTAAAACAGAGCTATTGAGTATTGTTGCTCGGTACATAATGCTTCTTAATTATATATATTTTGGTCGACAGTTTATATTTCTTTTGTTTATTCATATTCTTAAAATAACTGCTTTTTTAGAAACAAACCACCTAAAATATACGTGATTGATGAATTGGCGGAACAACATGGGCACAAAGTTCTTCGTCTGCCTCCTTACCATTGTATACTTAACCCTATTGAGTTAATTTGGGGCATAGCAAAAGGTTACTATAACAGACATATTGGTAGAGATGGTAACAGTGAAAAAGACTGTTTGGATATGTGGAACGAGGCTCTACAAACGGTTACCCCAGACATGTGGAAAAATAGTGTTCGACATACTGAGCAAGAAATTTTTAAATGGTATGAAAGAGAACGAATTTTTGATCGACCAGACATCGAACCTTTAATAATCAACTTTTAGAGTGATAAAGATTCAGATTCAGACAGCGCTGAAGAAAGAAACTCCGACTAACTTTATTGTACAGAAAAAGCTTACACCAGTAGCTTACCTAATTTTAGAATGCATTTTTCTGTATGAATTCTGTAAAATAAATACCATGCATAAAATTTGGAGGACCCCATTTGGATTTTTATTCAGTACCTTTAAGCTATCAATTAAATATGGTAGTTTCATAGTGTCATCTGATCAATAATTATCATACTTAATGATTATGCAAGTACAGATCTATAATTTTATTATACTATTACTTTTGTTCTTATTTGAGGTTAATGTTGCTTATAAACCTAGATATGTAAATAATAAATTTTATTATTTTACAAAAAGTTTGGCAACAATGTAAATTTTTCAACACACCCACCTTGATGACGTGCACGCCACTTTGTTTGGCGTTGACTATAAATGTCTATTTCCAATTTAGGCGTTCATCTAACATATACCCCAATCATATTAGCGAATTTCCCCGAAATAATTGTAAAGTCCGGTTTTATTGGTGCAAGTTGTTCAAGGGAATATTTTAAACCTGGGCGCATAAAACGGGTACACCAATTTTTGTGTGAAAACTTTTGATTTGACAACAAAGAGTGAGATAGCGTGTTTTTTGGGATTCAATCGATTAGGTATTTATCAGACCTACAAAATGAGACCACACGTAAAATGATTCGACTAATGGCAAAAATGTTATGACCGAAAAACGAGGCAAAATGCAGGTTATGGCACTTGTTGGTAATGCGACGACGGTTTCTCGCAGATATTTAAAATGATTTCAGTGATTTCAATGCCCATAATGAGCTTGGGTTGGGCTCAAGCAAGACATGCAGCAGGTCGTGCAGTTCAAGCGTTCGCTCTTACTCAAATGCTGGCCCAACTGGTGACGAGCCCTACTTTTCTCGCCCGCGTTTCGTCACATGCCAGTAGCCTGCTGGATCTCTTGCTAACCACTCATTCTGACCTTTACAACACTGCTGTCCTGACCCTCTGGGTACCCACGGTGCTGTTGAGGTTAGGTTTCGGTCAGAACCCGCTGTGGCAGCAGAAACGCGCCCAGGCGGCAAAATTTGGCATTACGGACATGAGACTTCCTCTCTACCTTTTCCTTGGAGATATGTTTGTTTCGCTGACGCGGATGCGTCGGCTGTCTGTTCTTCGATTACGAAAATTATCCATGTCGGGATGGAGGAATACATCCCTCATACAGTGAAAGTGCCTAAACCAGGGTCCAACTGCTGCTTCAACAAATCGTGTGACACTGCTCGCCAGCAAACGATCAAGGCCCACAGAACCTTTTTACAAAGCCACACTGTAGAGAGCAAACAAGCCGACGTCAAGTCCAGAAACAAATATAACCAAGCGATTCGCAATGCCAGGGACGAGCACGATATAAAATTTAAGCACAGAGTAATGTCGCAAAGCAATGGTAGTCATCCTTTCTGGACGCTGGCCAAGTAGATTGAAAAGAACTTCTCACACAGTAGCTTTCCACCACTTACGTGTCAGGATGGAACGATTGTAATCGACTCAAAGGCCAAAGCCGATGTGCTTGTCAAGATCTTTGCTGCCAACTCCACCATGGACGCCCAAGTGATTCAATAGCTCGCCAACACTATGCGGGAGGTAACATTCAGGCATAAGACGGGTGCTCTTGTCGCTTGAAATCAACTGGTCCGGACTTGATTCCTGCTATTGTTCCAGACATCTTATGAATCCGGCACCTTCCCAGAAAACTGTAAATTTGCTCATGTCCAAGTCATCCCAAAAAGAAAAGGATCTAAGACCAAAAATTACAGGCCTATAGCTCTGCTTTCTGTTATAAGTAAGGTGATAGAGAGGTGCATAAATCGCAAGCTTCTGGACTACCTCTTACGTCACAGCTTGACTAGCGACAGGCAGTATGGTTTCCGGCACCAGCGATCCACAGGGTACCTCCTAGCTTACGTCACGCAATTGTGGAGTCTACTCATCCAATCTTATGGTGAGGCTCATGTCGTTGCTCGTGATATCATGAAAAATTTCGATCAGCTGTGGCACGCTGCCCTCTTATGCAATCTTCCATCCTATGGCGTGTCAGAGAAGCTTCTCAGATGGGTGGCTGACTTTCTCTCTGGCCGCAAGGTATCCGGTCTAGCCTGCCCTCTGAATATTTAAATAGCCGCGGTAATTTGTCCAAATCCACAGCTTTGTTGATAATAGCACTCTACATGCAGGAATTCCGAGCGACCTGGAGGTTATCACTATTTGGGGACGCAACAATCTTGTACAATTCAATGCTTCCAAAACACACTACTGTACCTTGACGAACAAAAAGCGTCCTAGCACTCATCCGATTTCGATGGATGGCCGACTTCTGCCAAAGAGCCATTCATTTCGGCTGGCCTGAGTAGTCCAGATCACCGAGGACTTGAACTGGCATGAACATATCGTGTCAATAGCGGACGCTGCTCGGAAAAAGCTAGGCTATTTTTTTAGGGCTAAGAAGTACTTTTCTCGAGTATTGTTCACATGTTTTGGGGTGCTGCCACCCCGACTACATTATTTATGCTGTCCAGAGGAGGGCTGTCCAACTGATTGATGGCTCTTCTCTAACATACAGCCTCGGGACCCTTTCGCACCTGCGGGCCGTCGGCGATCTAGCTCTCTTCTACCGCTACACCAACGGGCTTTGCTCCTCAGAGCTCTCTTCCATGGTACCGCCGCGCGATGTGCCTGCCAGATAGACCCATGTCAAATTTCGTACATCCAGAACTTGCCGATACGACCGCTCCTATATCCCGAGGGTGTCGATATTGTGAAACAATCTACAAGAGGATTACCAACATTTCCTTGGGATTCTAATAGCAGCCGCGGTGCTCCGGCATTTAGGCTTCTGCCTGCACGGCGGCTTCGGTTTAAAAAAATGATGTCAGAAAAACTACATATTGTCATAAGAAATCGATATGTCGTTTTTTAAGTTACGTAATTAGGGTATCGAAGGTAATAGCATTACTCATATACTCTATTTTAGTAACAGTTTCAAGTGTACGAAGTCGCGTTTAACAGCTAAAATGAGGCCCTGTATCGCTTCTTGACCGTCACAGGTTGAGTGGGGTGGTAGAGCCCGCGCTGTTGCCAGCCTGATGCTAGCAGTAGGGATTGTGGTGCTTTTCAAATTCTTGTCAACTAACCCATAATTGTTAATGCGGCAACGCTACCTCTGCATCCGAACTCTCGTTATTTGTGCTTCCTTTACGTTCGGTGTTTGTGTTTCGTGTCATCCATAAGAGCTCATGTCAAAAGGTTAGGCATTGCGATTTAAGGTTTACCTATAACCAGCTGGTCAACCCATACATGCTCCTCTGTTTAATGTTAACTAGATTTTTAGGTTGCGCCTGACATTGAAAAACGCGTTTTGAAAGTTAACTGCAAAATTGGAGTTCACGTGCGGTTGAAAAACTAACCGTCCAAATTTTTGGCGAAAAGGAAGTGTCACCATTTTAATTTAGCACTTGGCTGGATAATATGATTATTTATAACCTCTCACCTCAATTTGATTTTTGTACATAGTGTGTATCTGCTTGTTAGTCTCAGCTGCTGTGTTAACTTTTTGCTGTGCTTGTTTGGGAGAAATGTACGACAAACCAACCAGCGAATTCAATTTCTGCTTTTGATTTATTTCTTCTTGTAAGTTTTTCCTCAGCTTATTCGTTTCAACTAGTAATGCTGCATTTTCGTCCACCAAACGGACCTTGTCGTAACTCAATACTGTGGTGCTTTTCGTAGCCTAAACAAAAGAAGAAAGGATTGAGGCACAACATGAAACTGTAAATTTTAGCAAATACTCAGACAGATATACTCTTTTACCAAATAAATGTGGTGTCTGTCGCAGATTAGCATACCTGTGGAAATCATGATGGATATAATCTTTGTAGAGATTGGACTGAAGTCAAGCGACAATGTTAGGCTTAGGCCGCACTACGGCTAAACCGCCGCGGATTTTAACCGCCTGATTTTGTGAGTAAGCTAATGGAATCCGCCGCACTTACGATTTTTTCCCGCGACCAATCTTAAAACCGCGACTAGCGGGAAAAAACCTCGCGAAAATTTGTACTTCATAGAACTTATATTGGCGCGCACACATTTGACGCGGCAACCGCGCGCGGTACTGTCATTCTTCGGAACACCGTCATGAAGAACCAGATATGCATAAGTCATCATGGGCATTACGAATATTATGTACGTCCACTGCATCATGGAAGGGCTTAATCACTATGTTTTGCCATGAGAGCGTTTGATCTGTGGGGCTAGGTTCCTTTTTTTTTTTTTGGCACTAGGACATTGCGTCCCATTAGTCAGATCCAATCTTGTATATACGTATATCTCTAATTTTGGACAAACACACGACGTCACAATATCCATGGCGAAGGCGAGATTCGAACTCGCGGCCCGGCCGGCCGGCTGATCAGTAGCACGACACTCTGACCCACGCGGCCAACCGAGGTCCCCCATAGGTGATATGGATGGTACGTTTGTGAATAATCCTTTAGACGGAAGTTCTGCATATACCACTTTCTGTTCTAATTTGCCGTGCACTCAAATGGGGATTTTACTGTAACTTTAATAGAACCTCCAACTGATTCTCCTCATTGGTGACACTTGGATTATTTATACATTTTTTACTACATTCCACTGCTCCATTTGATTCTGAACGTTCTCGTAGTGTGGAAAATGTTTCCCGCCTTGGATGTGGTACATTAGGGTAATGTTGCTTATAAATGCGATATGCTAGGAAACTATTTCTTTGGGCTTCGCCCAAAACGAACACCATATTCACCATTTCTTCTGTAGAAGAATTCATTTTCAAACACGTTTTTATTATAATGCTCACAAACATCCAACAGCCATAGCCAATTACAGGATGGATAAACATGAAAATATAAACAAATGCATGTAGTGGATGTATGTAGAGAGAGCTAAAACGCTGCAAAAAAAAAGCTCAAAACAGAATTGCGAGGAAAAAAAGCGTTGTATCTTTACCTACCCAGCACTCAACAATGACACCCGCAAGCATTAACGAAAATAAGCATGAATGTCTCCCAAAGTCGCACAAAACGAAAATATATCTAAAACGCTATTCACTGAATTATAATTATGGCACATTATATAGACAGGGGAGGACTTAAGTATGTCAGTCCTAGGCCTGGCTAAGTAAAATGTTAAACTAGTTCGTGACGCTAATCTGGGAATTAAGAAGTTAAGTTGTTCTAAGATGACACTGGAGTCAATAATCCCATGGGTGAGCTTGTGAGTGAACTTAAGTGAATTCTTTTTACGTCTGCTCTCTAAATCATAGATTTTATGTCTCACCATCAACTCACTATGAGTAAAGCCAATAGCAGGATATATCCCGTCAGCTTTGTATGAGAGGTATTTTAAAAACTTTCTTTGAACGTACTCTAAGCGGTCAATATATATTTGATGATGAGGATACCATACCAGGGACGCATACTCAGGCTTAGATCTTACATAAGCATAGTACAGTATTTTTGGTGTAAAGGAGTTGTGGAAATCACCAGTATTTATTACAATAAAACTATACGCTTTTGATGCAGCCACAACAGCATTTTCGATGTGATAGGAGAAGGAAAGTTTTCTGTCAAATGTAACTCCCAAGTCATTAATTGTATTCGGTCTGTCAAGTTTCCTGTCACCAATACTATATTCATACATCATTACCCCTGTGTTTAAAGTAAACGACAAAACGTGACACTTGGCAGCATTAAAAAAAAGTCTGTTTTCACGACACCAGTTGTCAACCCTTACAATGTTGCATTGCAAGCGATGACAATCGTCAATGTTAGAGACTCTACAGAAAAGTTTCATATCGTCAGCATATATAAGAAAATCGACATCGATAACTTCCAAGGTCCGAAATTAGATCCTTGAGGAACACCGGACATTACAGGGTATTCGCTTTTGGCTTATGTCCATTGCACATAACATACTGTTTCCTATGAAATAAGATCTGAAAAACAGCAACAATGCATCTGAAAGACCAAATCTATATAACCTATTGAGTAGGATGTTATGGTCTAAACCAGGGCTGACCAACTTAATGTGGCCCAAGGGCCACTTCAAAAAAAATGCAGTTTGGAGGGCCGCATTATAAAATCTTTCTATACAACATTATTACTGACTTGTAATAGGTATATACTATACTATATGGTATACAAAAATAGTTTTTCTGTTATTTTTATTTATTCAAAAAATATTAAATTAGAAAAAATCAGTGGGACATTTGAGGATGTTTTCTAATACTAATGCATCAATATTAACACTAATATTTGTTGTTGATAAACGAAGTAACTGAGTAGGTCACTTATCAGAAAGGGAACATCTATACCTTGACTTGATAAATTTCATGTTGGAAAAGGTGCTTTCGCAAAGATACGTGCTTTCCATCATTGATCTCATTGTAAGTCCTAAGTTTCGCAAGTTGGGGTATCGTTCTCCTGGCAGTAACTTAAAAAAATCCAAGTTCTTCCTTGGTAAAAAGGATCTGACTGCAAATCACACAATTCCAGTTGAAGGTCTGCTCTGCTTACGTTCTCAACAGAAATTGTTAGTGGCTGAGTAAAAACTGAAATGTCTCTTTAGATTTTTTTAAAGTCACTAAATCGATTTTTGAATTCTTCTGCAATTGTGTCAATGTATTTTATATGAGGTAAATACGAAACGTCCTCAAAATCCTTCATTTCTTCGAAATGTTCTTTACAACTTGGAAAAAATGAAAAATCATTTTTTTGTAATGAAGACTTGAAAAGCTTAATTTTATTCTTAAACCCATTTATATGTCCAAATAAGTTGGCAATATTCTGCTGTTTTCCTTGTCGCCTCAAATTCAATTCGTTAAGGTGAGATGTCATGTCTGTTAAAAATGCAAGGTCTGCTAAAAATTGTGCATCTGCCATTTGATTTTCCAGTTCCGTAGTGTCGGACTTCACTTCATTTTTAAGGAAAATAGGAATTTCCTTGCGTAGAGCGAAAAATCGTTGCAAACACTTTCCGGCGCTTAACCAACGAACATCGGTGAGAAGTAACAAGTCCCCATATGTAGTATCCACTTCAGCCAAAAAATCACGAAACTTTGTGTGAGTCAAAGCACGATTGCCCCCTCTAACAAACAAAGACATTATTTGGAGGGGTTGACTTTTGCATGTTTAGTGTCAATGATAGACCTTCTATTATGAAGAAGCTGATGATCCCGGTAATATAAACCTGTTAGACATAATGCGTCACACATCTTTTCCTTACATCTGCCATGGAAACAGAAATAGAATAGACTTATTTTGTATATTTTGATATGTAGAGGTCGAAAATTCATCGTACCTACTCAGTCACGATTCGGTACCGTCTTTTGAGACGACTTGACCAATACATTTTCTTTGAAACCTCCATCGAAGGCGTAGGAAATATAGAGTCAATCTGCTTGACGCCATTTTTTTGTTGAAGGCGAAAAAATATATTGTCGTGTACCAATAGTTTTACGACCTCCTGTATACATTCTTAGACGCTTTTTCTTTTTGTCACCAAAAGGTAGTCTATCCAAATGGTCTCAGGACTCAGCCCAGAATATTTTGGAGTTATAAAGCGCAATATTACATAAATATCAATCATATCATCATCAAAGCATAATCATTATCTACTGAAATGATCCGTTTCCCCAAATAAAACAGCAAGCTTCCAAGGGCGGATTCACGATTCCGCCTAGGAGAGGGCGCAAACGATATTTGGGGCTCGTAATTTTTCTATCTCAGTGACATTTCTAGAATTTATCCTATTATTGCTCCTTAAATCTATTGTGTTCTATCTGTTCGATGCCGAGTTGTAAAAAAAATATGGAAAGTGCTCAGAAATGCTCAAAATTTTACTATATGAGAACGAAAGAATTACGTGGCATTTATAATTAACTAGTGTAATTATATTAAAGATTAAAACATGAAAAACTTCATTGCTCTGTTAACCGAAAAAGACATTTGAAGGACCCCGAGACATATCCCAGCCATTCCACATAAAACAATCCCTTTGATGGCGAAAACGAGACCGAAAATTCACATTATCGTATGGACGCTAGACGAGACAAAGAAGGATGTCTATAGACCATCTATAGATCGTGTCTTGAGACAGTCTCCAGACTGCCTATGGACAAATTGCGCAACGGGGTCTACTAGTGTGCACTAAGCTTAAGGATTAATACTCTAAACTACCCGTTAAACAAATCAAGTAAGTGGTATAAATACTGACACAATCGAGCACTTCTATTATATCAGCAGGTGAAAAAAATATCTATAGGTATAGTCAACTATTTTTGGAAACTCAATATAGATGTTATAGGTATTCTTCAAGCTTTCGTTGTCGAACTTAGATTTACGGCATAGTTGTTGTTTTTTTCAGTTTTCAAATCGGTGTTGATCGCATGTAAAAATGTTGGAAATCTTTGGAAAAAACTATGTATATATATATATATATATATATATATATATTAGATCGTAATTATTTTGATAATGTATGTTTGTACGAAACAAGAACAGGAATACAGGGCTGTACATATTCACGTGTAGTGCAGAAGCTCTGTGACTTAAACGCATTCCAATATAGCAACATAAATAGAAACAAACCCGGGAAGAAATGAGGCACGTGTGATATTGACTTTGAGCATCGATCGACGCATGTTCTGGACAGGCTACAGGCGCACCTCTGAGCAAATCTCATAAATGTATATTT